CGCGGCGCCAAGACCGCCGAGACGGTGCAACGCATCAAGAAGACCCGTCGACTGAAGGCCAACAACCGCGAGCGCAACCGCATGCACAACCTCAACGCGGCGCTGGACGCCCTGCGCGAGGTGCTGCCCACGTTCCCCGAGGATGCCAAGCTCACCAAGATCGAGACCCTGCGCTTCGCCCACAACTACATCTGGGCGCTCACCGAGACCTTGCGCCTGGCGGATCACTGCGGCGGCGGCGGCGGGGGCCTGCCGGGGGCGCTCTTCTCCGAGGCGGTGATGCTGAGTCCGGGGGTCGCTAGCGCCGCGCTGAGCAGCAGCGGAGACAGCCCCTCGCCCGCCTCCACGTGGAGCTGCACCAACAGCCCCGCGCCGTCCTCCTCCGCGTCCTCCAACTCCACCTCCCCTTACAGCTGCACTTTATCGCCGGCCAGCCCCGCCGGGTCAGACATGGACTACTGGCAGCCCCCACCTCCCGACAAGCACCGCTACGCACCTCACCTCCCCATAGCCAGGGATTGTATCTAGAGCTGCCATCTCTGCTACCCACGCCAGGCCTTAGGAGATCCACTTTCCGCCCCCAGCCGAGCCCTACTCCCTTCCTCTGTCCTCACTTTCAACGCCCTGTAAACGATCTCACTTCCCAGAGCAGATGCAGCCGTTCTGATTCCTAGGTTCGTTGCGTTTCTTGCTTGTGGGTTTCCTTCATTCAGACGGGCTCTGATTTTTATCGAAGGCGTGATGGAGCTTATTGTCAAAAAGAAAGGTGGCGTTCTGGGGGCGTTTATTGAGACTAGAAAGACGCTGGGAAGAGATGACGGTGGCGTAGCTAAAGAGTTTGCAGAGCGGACTGACGCTCCTCCCCTTTCTCAGCAACGCCGGAGGACTCGGTGCGGTTCGTGTGAATCTCCCAGGGAGAATGCAACTGGTTCCTGTGATCTCGTCACCTTTGCTTCTGCATAGAGATGTTAATGTCGAGTAGAAAGAAATGTATCTTAGCATCTGAATGATTTTACTGGTAATAATATTATCCACAGATTTGCAATGGCTGGCATCTGCTTTATTCCCATTGCTGTCTGCAGGCTGTGGGAATTTCACCTGTCAAACCAAACTTTCCCCCTCTGATGTGCACTTTGTTCTGTTTCCCAGATTCGTCACAATGCCTATTGTCCCGTCCTTCTCTTTCCTTTTTCTTCCCCATTTTGCCATCTGTCTCTTATGATTTATAAGGGGAAAAAAACTTGTTTTGTTAGAGGGGCAGGTTAGAAGTCATTGTATAATTTGTAGGCTTTGTAATGATTGAATGCAAGCGTGGAAATTTAGGCTGAACTCTCTATCAAAAGGAAAAATGTGGAGGAAAAGGGAAAAATCAGGAGGGAGGATTGCTTCATGCATTATTTATCTCGACCTTTTAGGGGAGAAGGAACTCCCCTATTCTTTCAAGAGATTAAAAATAAATCAACAGTCTGAAAACCGAAGCAGACACGGAGCATTATCGGGATCAGCCACACACGTGTTCCCTTCTATTTATTATAAAGAAATTTTTCATTGGAAAATATGTATTTTTTGTATATTCTACAGAGTTTATTCTAGTATGTATTCACATCTTGAAGAACAAGAAATTGTTCTTTTGATTAAACTATAAATAAAGTATCTAATTTTCATAAGTTTTTGTGTTGCATTCTAACTTTTTCTTGCTTATGTGGTTTGTAGATGACAAATGAGCTGTGTTTTTCTGAAATTTTCTCCTTGTCAAATTGAACATAGCACTTATATTTTTTTGCCAATGTTTGTGTGTAGAATTTCACTAAGAAATTACAAGAAGCTGAATTAGATGTGAGACACTAACACTGAAATAAGAGTGCAACTCTCAATATAAACACAAACTCTGTTTCTAAGAAAATAATTTCTGAGCAAACAAAATGAGCAAAATGGGGGGGGGGAGAGAATTTGAATAATAATTAAGTCATAAGAAGTTCCAAAGTTCAGAAAATCTTGACTTAAAAAAACTGCAAATTTAAAATTTCTTAGTAGAGTGGGTAAATATTGGGGTCTTACACTTAACTTCTTTCAGCTTCAATTCTCATTCGCAAACTGGAGGGATTGGACAATGATCTCCAAAGGCTCCCCTTCTATCTCTAAAGTCTATGATGCAGCAATATTTATAAATTCATTATTGGAAGCTGATTTTTTAATCAGCCATTTTAACAAGCTAGTTGATTTTAAAAGCAAACTGTTAGATAAAAGAAGATATTAAGAGTGAGCTGGAATTTAAAAATACCTGAAAGAAATAGCTCTGCTTTCCAACTTTTGTTGTAAAGTAATTATATTATCCGAACTTCTTCAAAGAGAAAGCAAAAATGGTTTAACATGCATCTCAGTCTCCAAAGCAGAAATGAATGACCTTTGTTTGGCCTTGGGTCAAAAATGTCCAAATGAAGGTTGTCCACAGCCTAGGTTTAATCCCCTTGGGGAGGTTATCTACAACAACACAAACTGAAAAGGATCAGGTTAGTAAGAAAATGTTGGTTGTACCCAGGGCCCTCCTCCCCATGAATGTCTTATCTGCTTATGGTTTGGGATAAACCCTCCATTCCTCTGCACAAAGCAATAATTATTCTCCTGAGATGTCTGTCTGAAACCATTTTTCCTCTCTATCCATATGGCAAATGCTAAGTGTTTAATAGTTTAGTAGTTCCATTTTTGTCAAAGGAAGAACTCAGGGTTTTGTGTTGTTCTCATAGCTGGACATAAGACAGACCTGTCAGAAAATCCCTTCTAATTTAAAGACTGTCATTCTCAACTGCTCTTTGATTATCTGCTATGGGAGAAAGTGATAGTTCTCTTATATTCAGATTTAAGTTTTGAATGTTTAAAAAGTTAAGCCAGAAAACAAAGCAACTGCAATATGATAGTTTGAAAACATCTGTGTTTTGGTGTTGAACAAAGGTTATTCTAGTGATATAATGCTTATGGTGACATATGGTGCTTCCTTTGGGAACTGTCTGAAGAAACAGTTCATGTCACAGGTCTTGTTACTCAGGTCCAGTTTCTCTCTTTTTAGATTAGAAAATATAGTTTATTTAGAAAGTAAATTAGAGAGAGAGAGAGAGAAAGGAGATTCACCTCCCCAAAGGAGAGCTTAAGAGAACATGGCCCAGTTACCCTTTCAAGACTTTGGGAAACTTCTTCAATTGATGAGGCCATCCCATAAACGGGTGACCCTAATGGCTTAGTTGGAGAGGCAAGGCTGGGTAGACAGCCCAATGATCATAGCTTTGAGTAAGGATAATACAACTCATACAGTCTTAACATGGCAGAATCTAGCAGCTATCCCTACAGTCTCTCCAGGTCTGGAGTCTTGTTTCAAGTTCTCAAAGCAGGAGTTTGCAGGTCCCCACACACATGCCATACATGCCAGGGGTTCTGTCTACCACCTGCGATCCACAGTCAGGCTTTCCCTCTCGCCGTCTGGAATATACCTTGCTTTACTCTAAATTGGCGCAATTATTTTCCCTGCGTCCTATCATCTTCAGCTGGGAAGAAGGATGTTCTTTCTGCCTCAGCGCTGGGAGTTCTCTTCCCTAACCTACTGCAAACTCCGCAGCCTGTGACCTTACAGGCGTCCTCTCCCCTTCCTCGTAGGAATGAATACAATTACGGGGTCCAAGCCCTTGCTTCTGCAGTCGGGAAAAAGGTTGCTTTTCCGTTGTCCCCCCGCCCCTCCCCACCTTGTGAAAGCCCTGTGATGAGCTGAATCTGTCTGTACCAAGCAGGCTTGCAGGCATCTGAGTCACGCCATTCTATTTCTGGTGGCTTTTTGATGACAGAGATTTCAAATAACGCTCTGGAGACTTGAGGCGACAGCCCTACACTGCCCGCGTTGCTAGGTCTTTCTAGCGCCCCGGGTGCGCAGCGGCCGGGAGGCACGAAGGTTGGTCCTGTCCTCGTGGCAGCGTCGCTTTGGCGCCGCCAGGGTTCCGGGATTGGTTGTGCTTATTTGTCCTAAAGCGCCCAGGCCTTGTTACGGCCCAGTTTGCCTTCACCAGATTTTAAATACATGCATCTGAGGGCCAAGAAGGAGGAAAAAACAGTCGAGAGGCGGACTGCCAACCTCTGGGCCCCGCGGCTGGAGCGGGACCCGGCCCAGCTCAGGCGGGAGAGGGGGCCGAGGCTCCCCCGGTCCCTGTGCGAGAGCCGGGTGGGAGCCCCCGAGGCCCAGGGAGGCCTCGGCCCGCAGGGATCGAGTCCAGGCGGCACTTCCCAGGGTCTAACCCGGTGGCCCACGAAGGGCAACTAGGCCCAAGGCCTCTGCGGTCACGCCCACCCGCCCGTCGGGCCCCGGGGACTCTGGGCTGCAAAAGGGCCGGGCGTGTGCACGATGCCAGGAGCTGCTGCGCCCCCACCCGCCGGGTGCACCCCTGCACCGCACAGCCTTGGGTCTGTCGGGACAACTGGGCAGCGACACCTGGAACCGGTTAAAAGCCCCTCCTCCTCGCGGCGGGCCTCGACCCCCCCCCACCCCCCTCGGGCTCCCAGGCGAGCATTGAATGTATTAATTAAATAAAGCGGGCAGCCCCTGAATCGCGCCAATGCAGGGCGCTCCCGGGAGCGTGAAAGTCCCGGCCTCCGAATCCGCAAAAGAAATGTGTGAAAAGAGAATTAGTGAAATTAGGTTAGACCAATAAAACGTGAGGGTTCCAACATCCCACTCCCCGCTCCCCACCCTGGGGCTAGAAGGGCTATCTGGTCTGATCTATTGTTTCTCGCCCTGGCAGGGGGTTCATTGTGTGATAAGTAATTCCCTCTGCATTTTCTTTTATTCTTTAAAAAAATGGGTATTTGCATAATCAGTGCTTTGATGTGGCCAGAAATCGGAGGTTTGGTCTCCCCAAGTCTGCTCCGGGAGCGAAGCAACAAAGCTCGAACCAGATCTTTCACTGCGCGGACCGTGCGTGAGGCGGATCGTCAGAACAGCCGCGTTAAGCCGCTGCCTCCTTTTTTAAAGATCCACTTTAATGATTAAACTTAAGGAATGTCCAAAAAAGGCGGGGGAAAGACGAGCCTTTTCAGCCCCCTCCGCCGCTCCCCGTCCTTCGGGGTTTATTGTTCTCTGCCGCGTCTTCTCCGGAGCGCTCGGGTGGGGGGTGGCGCGCCTCCCCCGGGGCCGCCCCACGTGGCTCCGAGTGGGCACCGGCGGGGGTCCTCGGGGCCCAGGAGGGGCGAGGTCTGCGGGAGCGGTCCGCCTCGCTCCCCCACCCGTTTTCCTTTCCCCAGTTTGGTTTCTCCTCTCCTGCCGGAATGGGGCTCATCTTATGAAGGACGCTGAAGTGAGTCGCTCTTCAGTCCCTGAGTGAAATTGGGGGGGGGGGGGTTCTTGGGAACGCAGTTTGGGGGCAGTTTCAGATGGTCCCCGACAGGAGAGGCGAGCAAAGAAACTCGGTCATCTGGAAAGCAGAACGCGAAAGCCAGCGTGGCCGAAGCTATTATGTCCCTGCAAGGTGGCGTGAGTCGGGAGGACGGAGCGGGAAAGGATCCCGATGGGGTGTGCGCCACAGCAAATGACTTCTTCCCCCTCTTGGTGCCAGGGTCGGGGGAGGGGGAGGAAGGGGGTGCTTGTGTCTGCTTTTTTCCTTCGCTTTCTCGGCTTCTCCAGCTGCTCAGCGCGCGAATGGGGTGATGCCAACTTGGATTACTGACTGGGGACACCCTGCGAAGGGCCAGGCCTCCCTGAACACCCGGACAGGGGCCGGGTATTGAGCCCGGTTTCAGCCCGGGTAGGTGTCAACTGCATGAGGGTCGCTCGGTCTCCGGGTGCCCAGATGGGAGATGGGAGATGGGATGAGAGCTGAAAGCAGGAAAGAAGGATTCTCGAAACACCTGCGCTCCCAGGGGCTCACTCCTTCCGCCCAGCTCCGCCTCTCACCGAACTCACCCGGGCCAGTCGGTAGATGTCCTGCCAGCTTTTGGACCGCAGAACTTCAACGGTGGTTAGCTCATCAGCAACTTCTTCCCCACTCCCAACTCTTTTTCACTTTTCAAGGCTGTGACTGTATAAGCATTTTGTCTTCTTTATATCAACTTCCAACTTCCTTACCAAAAAAAAAAAAGTTATTTAGCTTAGTACATAAAAGGACCCCGTTTGACCTTGGGGACAGTGCTTTGGATTCATGTTACCTGGCAGGCAGTCTGCTTACTGCTCACTGAAGTCCAGGGACATAAGAAATCAAGAGACAAACAGTTAAAGTTGTTTCCAAAGGATACATCTCCAAGAGAAGCCTGTGTAGGCTGCAGCTGGCTTTTAGGAGAGTCAATAGTGAGTGTGTGTCTTCTCTGATTGATCTTGTCGAGTTGTACAGCAAGCTGTACCACCAATGTTTTCCTCTAGTTTTTCTTCCTTCCTAACGACTCCACTTGGTTTCGGCATTCAAATTCTCCTTTCCACACTCACTATCTTTTGCTCCATACCTGAAGACGTACCTGGAGAGGCTAAACAATGGAAGGAAGAACCAAAGCTTTTCACCTGTCTCATTTGATGTAGAAACAATTAAATAAAAGCACCGAAGTCCATGTAAAATGGAATCAGGAAGAAAAGTATAAAGAACTGGGGGCTGGTTTCCATGGCAGCAGCTTGCAATAAAGTCTAATTCCAAGTGACAAAGAGGTC